TATAAAGATCTTGGCAGCTATAGAACATTATAACAATAATTAACTATAAAGCAAATAGATGATCTTTTAGTAAGAATAAACAAACAAGACAGTTTCAAATATTTAACAAAACTAAGAATAATACAAGATTGTTAAAAAGCAGATTTAGTAAAAATATATAAAAGCTAAAAAAGATATCAGAAATTAAAATATATTAGAAGAATAACTTAGTATGTCTAACAATACTCAAAATAAAAAATTAAAAATAAACATAAAAACAGAAAGTGAGTTATAAACAATGCTTAGATATGATACTAAAATATATGAGTTTGTAAATACACATTTGTAAAAAAAAAAGAATTTAGAATAAATGAAGTAGGTCTAAAATATCTAAACTAGTTGCTTAATATAAAAAGAGAAAAGCTAATTATATAACAGTAACTAAAAAACTATCAAGACCAATCAAGCAAAAGAAAAAAAAATTCAAAACAATAAAATCAAAGATACTTAGTAGTCTAAAAAGCAAAAAAGTATAAAAAAACTTTAAAACAAGTAGTTAAAATACTTAGACAATATAAGTTAAATAGAAAAATATATCAAAAGATAGAAGAAAAAAGAATGAGTAGTATATGATATATAAAATTATAAATAACTAAAAAAGATAATTAAAAAGAAAAAGAAAAAATATTAATTAAATACTGGCAAATGCAAAGTAAAGAAAATAAATTAGTAACTGAAATCAATAGATATAAAAAGTATATAAGAAAAAAAAAACCAAATAGAGAATAGTTATCAACAATGAATAAAAGTAAATAGCAATATTAATATAATTTTAGATATATTAATAAAGAAGAATAGTAACCAAATTAAAATAACAATAGACCAAATAATAGAAAAGACAAAGATGAATAAACTAGAAATTAAAAAAAAACCAAAAAAACTTATAATAATAGAAAAGCTAAAATAGAGATTATTAGATAATAGAAACTGAAAAAAATATTAGTTAAGAAATAATAGAAGTCTTAAAAAAAATATAATAAAAAACAAGAAGAAATATATGATATATACAGATGAAATATTTAATGTGAAAACTAGTAAAAAATCAGTAACTAAAAATAATATAAGTTTAAATAAATAAAACACAAAAATGATTAAAAAAAAAATAATACTTAAACTAAAAGAATAACAAATATTAATAATAACAGAATTGGTAGCAATTTGAATAGCAATTTTAATAATATCAAAAAATAAGCAAATTAAAAAATATATAAACAGTAATGTTACAATAAAAAACATTAATAGAAGCTTGAAAAAAGCAGACAAAAATAAGATTATTAAAAAAAAAATACAATATAGATAATAAAGATTAAAAATCTTATTAAAACAAAAAATATTCAAATAGAGTTAGTTAAAATGAAAAGTTATAGCCGATAGAATAATAAATCTAATAGCTTAACAAAAAAAGAAACAACAAGTAAAAAGATAATATAGGCTAAAAAAATCAGTTGTAAAAAGATAGATTACTATTTAAAATAGAAAAACAGATGAACTTATATATTAGTGTTACAAGATTGCAACCTTCTTAATACAATACAACTAAGTAACAAAGATATCTAATATAATAATTAATTATTACAAATATATATAGGATAGAGGTGTAGTAGTTTATTTTATTACATAATAGCAGACAAACAGTTTAAAATAATAACAGTATATAGATTAACTTTATTAAATAAATACACAGTGACAACCTTGTTTATAAAAATTATTCTAAAGAGAGAATATCATTTTTATAAGTTAAAAATAAAGGTAAGAAAGTCTAAGTTGAAATATAGGAACTTAGAATTGGCAAGAAAGAAGAAAAGATACTTTTTATATATCTTTTTACTTAGTAGAGATCATAAGAATTTGAGTAACATTACTTGATACTGTATTTGAGATAATAGAGATTTAACTCATATTAGATATTATTGTATTTAAGATAGTAAAGATTTAAACAATATTAAATAATATTATGTTTAAAATAATAGAAATTGTATAAAGATAACTAGAAATATTATTTATATTATTTGTTATTTATATTTGAAACACTTAAAGCTTGTATTTAGACATTTGGATTTATGCAAAAGTACTTAAGATTTGTGTAAGAATACTTGAGATTTGTATAAAAACACTTGAGGTTTGTATTAGAAATACTTGAAATTCTTGTGCTATAGTATTTAACATAATAATTTGATATTGGAATATATAAAACTTATACAAGAATACTATTTGTAAGACAATAGTAATATTATAAATATTATTCAGTATTATGTAGCTGTATAATATTTCTAATAGCCAATTAAGATTTTTTTATCTATTTACTATAAAATATAACTATCAGTTAACTAATAACTAATAACTAATAATAAATATACAGTAATATAAAATATAATAATAGGGTGTGGTGACCTAGTGAAGTGGTCAGGTTGTCAACCCCCAAGTGGCAGGTCTAGAGTTCAAATCCCATAGACGACAAATTTTGTAAAATAGGTCTGTGTTACAGTAACTGTCTTTGTCGATCAGTTGGATTGGTGTATCTGTAACCTTTGTTGCACTATCTCGAATAGGAGCTCAGGGCATCTATGCTAAGTGTAACATTACACCCATATAGAGGAATGTTAATAACTGGTGTTGTATAAGACTTTGATACAAACCCACGATAAGACCACTGGACGCAGAAAGCAAAGGAACCAAGGAGTCGGAAACCTATTTGGAAATCCCGAGTAAGGAGGTAGCACAAAACTTTCGATGGTGCTGTTAGACTGATGGAAGCCCATGAAACACCCCCAAAGGGATAGGCGGATAAACCGGATAGCAAGATGTGTAGAGGAGCACATGACCAACCAGGCTGATGGAATCGCTGGAGGAAAAAGATACTAAGATATACCATACCGGGCCATCTGGATTGGAAGTCTGGGGAGTCCTGTCGATCCTGAGTAGCGGTTAGTAAGGGATGATGGAGAGGACATCAGAAAGATAGGTACTGGGGTTTTGGGTGAACCTTACAAGGGTAAAAGCGGTTTAATGGTTAGCCCTGACTGCAAGTGATGGTTTAGGCCAAAGCGTGACCGGGTGAGCTGTAAGTATGGGATACAGAACGCACTGGTAGGTTTAGTACAAAGTTAAACATGACTTAGTGACCATGGCATATCTTCACCGGTTTACCGGAGTCGCTGGTAGGGTGTGGTGGATGCAAGATCAGAGTGTTTAAATAGAGGATCTACAGGTGGGTTCTAGGTATAGCAACTAGTGTAGAACCTTCGGGCGGACTACTTAAATTAGACAATGACTAAAGTTGTATGAGTGGCTAGTTGTACACTCTTTCTTTAATTGCCTCTGTGTCTGTACATGTACAGGCGCTGGCTAACTTATACTATCAGTAAAATCCTGGGTCACATGTACTCACCTTAACATTAAAAAAAAAAAAATAAAAAAAAAATAAAAAAAAAAAAAAAAAACATTTTGCTATAAAGTGCAGAATTAGTAAACTGATTTGAACAGAAGTATACAAATTCTTAAAAACAAATCAAATAAAATCTATATCTAATATGATAGAAAAAATATTTTTAAAAAACATTACAAAAAAAACAAAATCATATAAAACTATTTTATAGCTACATATATATACTATATATAAAATCTGATGCTATTATATAGCCTACAAATAAGATAAGATATGATACTTGGATTTAGTATATTCTATAATTACAAAGAATAGAATCTCTAAAAAAATTATACTAATTTATGACAAATGCTTTATGAAGTCTATTTATAAAAAAATATATAAATATCTAGTTTAGAATTATTTTAATATGTAATAATATTACTATAAGTAGCACTTAATAAAAAAGAACACTACATGCATTCTACGATGATTGTAAAAACATTGAAAATAGTTAAAAAAATAAATAAATGAATAAAAATAAAAATTATACTAACAAATATATTCTTTTTAATTCATGCAATCTATTTTTTTTAATTTATAAAAAAAGTTTATTTTTTTAATATTATTATATATATAACTTAACCAAGGTTTCAAATAGGTAAAAAGTAAAAAATAAGATTGTTTTGGGTCAAACTTATTTAAATTCTAGTCAAAATTAAAAATTAGACTTTAATTTTAACCAATATTTAAATAAATTTGATCAAAAAACCTTATTGTTTATTTTATCTACTTTAGAATTATTAGAAGTTTCTACTTAATCTCATAATAAAGTGAAACTTTTTTTTATAAATCAAAAAAGTATAAACCTTGTAAAAAAGCATTTTTTATGTTACACCTAATCTCGAAATTTGGTTGGTTCATCTTTTTACGTGATCTGTGATACTGTCATATGTTCTTATGAAAATTATATTTACTAAAAAAAAAAAAAGTAATTTAATAATATAACTTTTATTATATTTTACATACTACTTATAAGAACATTATTTTTAATAATGAACGGTAAAAAATTTCTACTGTTCACAAACTTATAATCATGTTCTCATGAGAACTCTGAGAACACTAATTTCGAACCTTGCTGTTGTCGGAATTGGCCGCAGAAAATCATCTGTAGAGCAACAAAAATTCAGTAGATCGACCAAAATTTAGGGTCGGAATAGGCCCGGAGCTAGACCAGTGTTAAGCAATAATACTAGCCATCCCTACAGCAAAATTATCACCTGGGCGGTTGCACTTAGTACGTGTGCTACCATTTTATTAGTAAAATTTTGGAGAAATCTATCTATTCCGGATTTAGGTCAATCTGCTGAATTTTTGTAGAGAACGGCCCCGATATTTGGTTATTGAAATTATCATATCGATATCGTGATAATTAACCAATCCGATATCGATCTGATAATTAACCAATCCGTTTTGATCTACATAAATTAGCCAATCACATAAATGTCTTTCCATGAAACCTGACCCAGGCAATTATACAAAAATGTTCTGACATATTGCCACACTTTAAGCCTTTTTCTTTCTAAGAGCCTAAATAATGCCTATCCAACAAGTTGGAACTGTTGATGAGCTTATTGAAGTCCTTTTAAATCATAGCGATGATCGCGCAGAATTCATCGTAAAGCATATTTTACCGATTCTTAGACAACTTCCGCAACAATTTTTCTTGCAAAGTGCAGCAGATAATAGGGATCCTCTCGAACGCCTCGATCCATTCCTCTATACTGTGCCCTATGCATACTTCCTGTACGCTGTGAATTCATTTATATTGCTCTTACTTGATAAGTTGCACTAATTAATCTTTCACAATATACAGTGTTGCACGTTGTAATGTAGAAAGACCTGATGTGACCAATTTATTAACTTACATTCTTGAATTCTTGCGAAGCTTCGATCCGAACCACATTCGACTGGTACCCGAAAAATGTGCGTAAAAAATTATCATAAGCATTAAACCCTACACAATCTGATAAAAATATACTTTTTTTGATTCCAAATTAATAGTTCTACAAATTGCTCAAGGATTATGCAGGATAGCAAACTTATATGGAAATGTGAGCTTGTAGTTTCACATATTCTTTTATTTAAATTACGAAGAATCAGATATCTGACAGGATTAATTTTTAGAATATAATTTCCATCAAACCGCTCACGCATGCTCTTCAAAAATATTCGCCATCTGCAAATCATTTGACAAATTTGCACCAATTTCTTATTAAGGTTGAATTTCTTTTTTCCGCGACTTTATATAACGTTTTTCGATACTTACTTTAATATTTATTTTAATCAAAAAGGAATGTTTATTGACCAAATGTTATAGACAAGCACTTCCAATATTGGATAACGATATAACTGAAATTGAAACTTCGGTGAATAAAAGCCCAAAATTTGTGAATTACGCGTTTAGAAATTAAAATTAACATTGTAGTTGATGTCAGGGAACGGGCATCTCGTACATAGATCATCTGTTGTACCATTACTATGGTGCAATGGTCTACATTGGATTAAAGAATTATTCGCGTGCCCTTAACTTCCTTATACTGGTAAGACATTTAAGTATCAGTGTCCCTGGATTGACCAATATTGATTAATATATATTATATATATCTTATTTTTTTTTTATGTATTTATTTAAAGGTAATATCTGCACCGGCTATTGTCACTAGTCAAGTTCAAGCTGAAGCGTATAAGAAGTTTAGTTTAGTTTCATTGCTGTTGCACGGAAAGGTTTGTTCATTATTATTTTTATTGACTTCAATCGTTAGAATTAGGGATTGGAACCGTTTAACCGTTTAAAAATTGCTCCATTGTTCCGGGCAGAACTATGTTGGTCGTGGGCCGGAATTATTTTAATGCCAGCCAAATTAAACGGTTAAACGATTAAGAAAATTTTTAGGCGGTTCCAATCCCTAGCTAGAATCCTTTTTATTTCATATCAAATCAGCTTGTTAATTATCGTTATAGATTATTCCACTTCCGAAATATACTGCACCTGTAGTTTTACGTTCGATCAAAAATCAATGCCAAGCCTATCAAGACTATGCCTCTGCCTTTGAGAGCCTGAATGTTAAACGTCTTAGAAATGAGTTTAACAAATGTAGCGAAACTTTTAGAAAGGTAATAGCGGCTATCATGTATATTTATTGTAGTCTAATTTATTTATATATTTAAATTTTTATAAACAGGATGGAAACTTTGGTCTAGTAAAACAAACGCTTGATGCGATTTATCGACGTAAAATTCAGCAGTTGACTCAAACTTATTTGACTTTGTCATTGGTCGATATCGCTGACACTATTGGCCTGGAAGGTCGAGAGGCTCCTAAAGTTGCGGAGCGTTACATTCTCCAAATGGTATTCGAATTTTAATTCATATATATGTTTTTATCTACGTGAACTATTAACTAAATGTTATAAACTTGATTTGTTAGATCGAATCTCGTGAAATATTTGCTACTATTAGTCATTCTGATCAAGGCGGAATGGTATCCTTCCACGACGATCCTGATATGTATAATACGTCAAATACTATCATCAAGCTTGAAGAACAGATAGCCAAAGCTACCAAAGTCAGCGACCGTGTTATCCAAACTGACCGACTTATTGGTTGTAGTAGAGAATATCTTGTTAAAGTAAAATCCTTTTCTTTTAGTTCACAGTATTTTTCATCTTATGCATATTTTATATTAACTTATTCTCTTCGTTATATAGAGTAAAAACATTGCATCTGGAGGCGTAATGCCTGGTGGTAGTCATATGGATGATCAAGAATTTTTTGCAGGAGGAGGCGGATTTGACAATTTCGATGCTGATGACGGAGGAAGGTTTTATTAATTGCGTAAACAGTATCGTATGTAATGATTAACTAGCTTCGCATGTGCCACTGTGTAACATTTAATATAAATAATAAAAATAATGAAATGTATCAGAAATCATGCAACAAATGATCATGAAAACTAAAACTTCATAGTTATTCAAATTTGAAGGTGCACTAAAGCTTTGTAGCTTATGAATTATTAATTGATATCACAAAAATCAAGTAGCCACCAAGGCTTTAATGCATCTCTAATTTACCTATATAAATTGAATTAGCTGTAGCTCTGTAGCTACGTGTTAATTTTTTCATGATTTATAAATAACGTAAAATCGATTGGTTGACATAGTAGACTATGTCTAACCGATCGTTTCACTGTGGAAGTAGTGATGCAAATGGCTTGAGCCGAACCACGAGCCAAGTGGCTAAGCCGAACCGTTTAGTAGCTCAGTTATAAGTTTACGTATTAATAAAAGTATTGGTTCTAAAAATGGATACTTTTCTTTTTTGGGAAGTTCTATATTGATTGGCCAATCAAATTTTTACAAAACAAAATTATCGTTATACCTTTAAAATTTATTTACTGTATATTTTTTTTGCAGATTTAACTTTTTTTTAAAACTTTGAAGATATTTTAGTACTACTTTTATTTTTTATTTTTGTTAATTGTTAAAGTTTCTGCCTTCGGGGAGCGATTTTATTCAAGTTATTATGGACACATTCATTTTTGGTGCCTAATTTAAGTAGTCCGCTCATACATTACTATACAGGTTCTACACTAGATGTCATACTTGCAAGCCAACTATGGGTCTTGCCTATTTAAACCTGCATATGCAATCCAACTTGTATTACCAAAACATCTTCAAGGCACCGCTCATTCAAGTTTTTGATTTTTATCAGTACTCTTAGAAGACTGATATTACCAATATATTTTTTAAATTTCTTTTTTTAGAAATTAACAATGATCACAAAAATTAACCAATAAAATTATGTTTTGTCATGCAAGATTTAGATTCTTTTTTTTTTTTTTTTAAATATTAACGGTGGGGGCAAGATTTAGATTCTACATATTCTATAATTTTGATTATTATAATTTTTAATTAAATATACATAAAGTTTTATTTCAAACAAATGTAATTATTGCTATATTATTAATTAAAAAATAATATTATATTTTTTATTTATTACTTAACTAGAGATGCAGATGAAGCTTGAGAAGTTGAAATAGTCTATACTGTAACTAAGTTATAACTAGTTATAATTTTTTACTTTAAATTATGATTTGTTATAACTTATATATATATTAATAAAATTATTTAAATTATAATTTTTATATGTCTTAACTTAATTTTGTACGTTATAACTTGTTGTAACTTGTTATAACCTTAATTTTGTTATTATTTTTTTTTTTTTAACCTTAAGCAGTTATGCTAGTACTTTATTAAAAATTTTAAAACTATACATATATACAATTACATAGAATTTTCAATATCTAAGTCTAGCATCACTTGGTCACCCTTATGATACCTAAGTGCAACTTGTTATACTATCTTAATTAGAGATAAACTGTTTGTCTAACTACTTAAAGTTATATTAGAAAGGTTTTTTCTTTTCTGTAACAAGTATATTGATTATCTTTCAAACTTTCTTTTTCATTTGATTTGCTTTTTCTATTTTTTTTTCTTTTTCTTTTTCTTTTGTTTGTTTATCTTTTTTCTTTTCTTTATCTGTTTTTTTTCTTGCACAAGCATCTTTTTTTATCTTATTTGTTATATTGATCTTCTTTTTATAGTCTTGTATTTTTTCATATCAAACTTTCTATACTTGGTCATAGAAGGTATTCTATACTGTTTTTGTTACTATATTAATATACTTCTACATTGCCTACTTGTTTAAGAGTTGTTTGAGTTTCTCTTCTACTTTTATCTTTATATGTCCTTTTATTAGCATTTCACTGTTTGTAATTTTTTTTATTTATAATTTCTCGAATAATATTTTATATAAAACCTATAGTGGGATTCTGTTTTTCTTTTCTTTTTTAAGCCCATTCTATACTATTGTTGTTGTAACTTTTTGAATCTATTTCTACAAACTTCTTTGTCTTCTACAATTTGGTAGATATGCCTGTATTTCTTTCTTTTCAGTTTGGAATACTTGATACTCTGTAGTTGTATATACTTTTGGTTTTCTTCTGTTCAGTTCTTTGAGTGTTGACAGTCTGTCTATTATATACTTAATTGCTATAGGTCTTCTTGTACTAAGTTTTCTTGATGTATAATAAACTTTTCTTGTTCTATTTATTTTTTTCTAAAAACTTGTTTATTTTTTTTTCAAAAACTTGTCCAATTATATAATATATTTTCTGTTTCTGGCTCTAGTATTTTTATTAGATTTGTTTCTTTTTAAATAATTTCAATTCTAGTATTTACTATTATTTTATACAGAAATCTCACTGGTATGTTAATTTTTTTATTTTTCCATTCTAAATAGTACTCTATTTTATCACATTTAACATTTTCTACATGTATTATATTTTTACAAATTGTTTTTTTTTTTACAAGAAAGTCTGCTTTGTCATTTTACTTGTCTTTATTATGACTTTTAATTTTAATTATTTTTATCTTTATATTCTTGTTTTTGATAAAATATATAATATTTATTATTTACATTATATTTTCCTTCTTTATAATACTTCCATCTTCTATGTTTTAAATTGCTCTATTAATATTTCTTAATGCTATAATACTATCTGTATATATTTCTATATTTTTTCTTTTTGGAACTATTAAAATTGCTATCCATATTGTTGTTAGTTTTGTTATTGTTGCTAAAGTCCATCTCTTGAGTCCAAATGCAGTTTCTTTTTCTGGTCAGTCTTCTTTATCACCTACTTGTACTCAGTCAATAACTATCCTTTCTATATTATTTTCTTTTCTTTTCTTGTATATTGCTTCATTGATATAAACTATATACTTTTCTTTATCTCTTCTTTTGTTTCATATTAGAATTTCTGTTAGCTAATTTGTAATTATATTACTTAATTCTTGTTTCTTGATTAGTTCTATTTTTAATTCTTCTGCTAGTCTTAATTTTAATAACTCTATTTTATCTCTTTTTTATTTTTCTATTTTTCTATTTTCTAATAATTGTTCTAATGTTACATTTATCTTATTGTTTGTTTTCTCTATTAGTAATATTAGAATTATTTTCATGTTCTAGTCTTGTCTTATTCATCTTTTATACTTGTCTGTTGTTTGTCTTAATTTATTTTTACAACCTTTATATGAACTTATTTCTGTATATGTTTTTTCTTCTTCTTTATACATTAGCCAATATTTTGCTAATATTTTTTTTTTCTTTTTCTTAATCATTTTGCTGAATTGCTAGTTGTATTTTGGTTTATATATAATTTATTTTTTTTTTCTTCAGTCTTTTGATATTTTTATCTACTTAATCTTTAATGCCTTTATATTGTGACTGTTTATTTTGTAGTAGTCTTGTATTTCTTTGTTTGCTTGCATTTTTAGTATCTTTTTTCATTTTACTAAACCATTTAGCTTTCTTTCCTTTGCATAATAGACCTTAAAGATTTTTGAGCTGTTTTTATGTGATTAGTTGTCACCTTTCATATCTATTAGTTGATTCATATATAATAATTCTTATTCATTTATTTTGCTACTACTTGTTGTCTATGTTTTGTTTCTAATATATCTTTTATTTGTCTATCATATCTATAAACTTTCTATAGTCATTTTGCTGCTTTGATGTTTATTCTTATTTCTTTTGCTTTAGTTATTGTTCAATATGTTAAGTTATTCTTTCAAAACTTTTTAGTTTCTAGTTTATTTCTATTGTGCCAGATGTCTTTTGTTAAGCTTGCTTTTTGGCATTCTTGAGTTATTCTAAGTCTTGTTAATTTATTTAGACTGTCTTGTCTATTAAATTTTGAGAAGATACTACTAATTTGCTTAGTTGTTATTTCTCTGTTTTAGTGATTTGTAATTGCCTAGATCTTTATGTTTAATTATGTAATTGCTTGATGTTTTCATTATATTGCATTTATTTTTTTATTTTTTTTTAAATATTAATAGTGAGACTATATTGTATTTATATTTAACCAAGCATATCAATAGTTGGTGTATTTTATTAATTGTCTTTTTTGACATCTTTGTTAGTTGTAAGAGGTATTCTAGCTTAGAAATTATTACTATATTGTTTATATATATGATCTGGTTCATTATCTTTTTTTTTTTTTTTTTTTTTTTTAATATAAACAGTCATGCTAGTATTTTATTAAGATTCTTGCAATTGCTACAATTATATAGAACTATCTAACAACTAAGTCTAGCATCACCCAGCCACCCTAATGGTGCCTAAGTACAACCTGTCACATTACTTTAAGCAGAAGTAAACTGCTCATCTGACTACTTAAAGTCCATAATAAAAGGATCTTCTTCCTTTCACAATATGTCTTTCTAGCTTCATCTTCGATTCATTTTTTCCTCTTCTTTAATTATCAAGCAAGAGAATTCTATAATCCTTGCCTAAAGAACAACAGAATATAAGAAAGAAAAACTAAAAGGAAGTAAAAAAAGAGGAAACTAACTACAAAACCTAAACGTAAACCAAAAGAAAAAAAAAGAAAAAGATAAAAAAAGAAGAATAAAGAAAAAACAAAAAACATGAAGGCATTATTTTTGTCTATGCTAGGCTTTAAAAATTCTATATAATACTAAATAAAGAATATCCCACATTTGCTTTATCTCTGTATTATAATATATTCTATTTATTACGTGGGGAGAATAGTCGAAGTTTTTATTTTCCTCTTAAGTTTGACATATGTTATTCATTATAGATCTGATACTCATCTCATGGTTTTCTTATGACTAATGTTTCCAATTTGGAAAGGTAAACAATGTCGATTCTTTGGAGAGGGTATGCCAGATTTCCTACTTTTTGGTAAAAATTCCAAAAGAAAAATTCAGTAGCGAGGGCAGAAAGAAGAGCCAACTTAAAAGAA